GGATGTGGTGGGGGGAGGGGGAATCGTGTGCAGCGTGTCTCACATTCTTGGAAGAAAGATGCTGTCTCCCTCCGTGGCATGAGAATAGCAGTGATGATGCTGTGAGGTGTCTGAGGGTGTGTGTGTGTGTGTGTGTGTGTGTGTGTGTGTTTACATGTATGATGTATGTTGTGTAAGTGTGTGTGTCTGTGGTTGTGTGTATGGTGTATGTTGTGTAAGTGTGTGTGTGTGGTGGTGTAGGTGTGTTATATGTAGGTGTGAGTGTGGGTGTGTGGTATATGTACATACATGGAAGTGTGTATGGTGTATATTGTGTAAGTATGTGTTGTGTGTGTGTGCATTGTGAGTGTATCTATGTTTGCATGTGTGAGTGGGTATGATCTGTATGTTTCCGTGTGTCTTTTGTGCGTGGTATGAGTGCGTCCTTGTGAGTGGGAGCATCCCTGCCCTCTGGGCAGAATACAAAGCCGAGCTCTGTGTTTGAGGATTCAGAAGGCCTCGGAGCAGGGGGTCCTTTGCTCTAGAAGGCGAGGTGGAGGTCTGGAGACTTGGGCCTTGGGCCCTGGGCACCTTGAGGCAAGGCCAGGAGGGGAGAAGGCATTTCTTAGGGCGCAGGGGGGGACCTCCGCGTGGCTGCGTCTGTTTCCTCATCCCCAATGAGAGGCGGAGGCTGCTGGGGCCCCTGTCCGCTGTCCTGAAGACACGAGCAGGGTCCTCTCTGCCCCCATTACACTCAGTGGGTCAGCCGACAAGCATGTACCACGTGTTTGCTCTGTGTGCGCTGCAGAAATCAGGGCCCATGTGTGCTTCATGGAGGGGACAGCGCCTCTAATTCCAACAGGTGCTCAGGCCAGCCCCCTGACCCCCATGCCAGGTTAGCCCAGGAGGGTGTAGAGGAGGGCGCTGCCTCCGGGGGCAGCCTGAGTTCTGAGCCTGGCTGTAGCCGGGGGACGCTGAGCGAGTCACTGGGAGTCTAGATGGAGGTGGTGGTCAGGTGAGGCCAGCCCTGGGCCACGGAGATGGGAGCTGTCCGGCTCCCCACGTGGGCAGGAGACCTGGCTTTGCGTGCCCCTGCTGCCGCTGACTGAATGTGTGACCTTCAGGGAGGGGCCTTCGTGGCTCCCCCCAGGCCCTCAGGGGCCCGAGGTGGCCCGCGACCCTTAGGGATGATGCCCTTTGACAGGAAGGCTCTCCACACGGGGTCTGAAAGAGGCCCGTTGCCCCTTCCCCTGCTCTCAGACCCCCACTGCTCCTGTTTCCATCCCACTTCCTTGGGCAGGTCTTCCTGTGGCATAATCTTGAGACCCTTCCCCGGTCCATCTGTCGCAGACACACTCCAGATTGTCCGTGTCCTAGAACCAAACCCAGGACTCCCCATGTGAGAGCAGAGCGCCTCTCTGTGCCTCAGCTCCCCCTCTGGGCGTCCACGGCGTTGGACTAGATGCCGCTGGTGTCCCTTTCAGCCCTAACATCCCACATTCTATGTTCCAGGCTCCTAGACTGGTCCCTTCCAGGTTTCCTCATCTGGGTTCTTTGTTCTCGGGTCCCTCCCACTTCTGACGTTCAGTTCCTGTTGGGTGCTGCGTCTTGTGGAGCTCTCCAGAGCAGCATTTCCCCAAATGTGCTTCTCCCTGGTGGCGTAGGGATGGAGGGGCTGCACTGCCTCCCTGGCGGGCATGGCGGGCAGCAGGCACAGGTTGACGCGGGTGGGGTGCCAGCTTCTTTTCCTTCCCGTGAATGGCTTGTGCGGGAGGCGGGGTGTGGAGCCTCGGTGGGGCTCAGTGCTCACGGTCCGCCGTGGCTTCCTTCTGGCTTGGTGCCTGCCTGGAGGCCCCTGGCAGAGGGATCTGTGTGTTCTGTTTGGCCCAAAGGGGTGGGGGGAAGTACCAAGGGGCCTGTGGTGGTTTGAGGTCTAGGAAGACCTCCCAGAGTGGGGTGGGCCTCCTCGGGGTGGGGAGGGTCTGTCCCTCACCTGAAGACCTTCAGGCAGGGACTAGATGACCCGCTCACTGGGCCTGCTATTTGAGGTCTCTGAGTCTAGGGAGCCCGTCGTGACCTTCCCCTTTGGGGCCTCATGCCCCCCGAGTTTGACCCTTGTGGGTAATGCCGTGTGTTACAGCCCTTGGACTTGGTGTCTCATCACTCTCCTAGACAGGCAGGGGGCTGCGGCTCAGCTCGGCTTTGTGTCGGGGTCCCCCCAACCTCGCCCCACCGGGAAGCCCGCCAGTCTGCACACGAGAAGGGAGGAGGGAAGGCGCTGTGGCCCCAGTGAAGGCGGTGTCTGGGTGGAAGGTGGGGGCCCTTCTGTGGGCTTGTCCGTGTTCCTTTTCCATCCGCTGCCACGGACACGGCTGCCTCACACGTCTCCTCCTGCCCTCTCTCGTAGGGACCGTCTTCCTGCAGCTGCCCTACTCCAAGCGCAAATTCTCAGGCCAGCAGCGGCGCAGGCGCAACTCGACCAGCTCCACTGGCCAGAACATGTTCTGCGAGGAGCGCGTGGGCTACCACTGGGCCTACAACACCATGCTGACCAAGACGTGGCGCTCCAGCGCCACCGGGGACGAGAAGTTCGCCGACAGGCTACTGAAGGACTTCACCGACTTCTGTGTCAACCGGGACAACCGCCTGGTGGCATTTTGGGCCAGCTGTGTGGAAAAGATGCATGCCAGTGCGCCCTGAAGGGCCTGGAGCTGGGGGCTGGGCAGCCTGGAGGCAGCGCCACAGGCACGTACATAGGCACCGAGCTGCCCAGGAGGCTGGGGCTGCCCCACTACGCTCCGTGAGGTGACCAGAGCCGTAGCTTCGTGGGGCCTCCCTTGTCAAGGGGTGTAAGATAATTCTGTGAAATAATGTATCATATGTCAACACTAGTTGTACATACGTGTAAATATGGAAAAGAGAAATAAAAATCTAATGCAGCCTCCGTGTCCCTGGCCTCATCTGTGGGGCAGGAGGAAGGCACCCGTGGGCCACCTCAACATCAGAGGAACCCTCATCCAGGACGTCTGGGGGAGCTTGGCCGGGGCAGCAAAGGGGCTTAGGCCTCCTGACCCCTGGCCTGGCCTGGCCTGACCTGAGACTCAGGGTCAGGGCTGCGAGAGCTTTTAAATCATGGAATATCAGAGCTGGGAGGGGCCTAGAACAGGGGATGTCAGGGATGGGGGTGGGTGGGGGGCTTAGAACAGAGAATATCAGAGATGAGATAGAACTTTGAGCGTAAGATATCAGAACTGGGAGGGGCCTTAGAACGGGGGACGTGGTTGGGGGTGTGTGCTTAGAACAGGGAATGGCACAGATGGGAAGCCTTTAGAACGTGCTGGGCGCTGGGAAGGATGTTTCCTACTTGGAACGAAAGGATCAGAGAAGCCCGCGGCCAGAGGAGAGGTGACTGGTCCAGGGCCACACGCACAGTTAGCGGCAGAGCCCGGACCCCCAGACGGCCCCCGCCCCCTCCCTCCCCGTTGGTGGCCCCGCCCGCGGCGGCGCTGACCTGGCGCTGACCCCGTGGGGGAGGGGGCCACGCTCGGGGCTGTCACCAAGCAGTGGCTACAAAGTGTTGCCCCCGCTGGCCCCGCCCTCTGCCCCCGGCGCCACCCCTGCCGCGACGCCGCAGCCAGCCCCCAGCCCCCGGCCCCCAGATCCCCAGACCCCACCCAAGGGCCAGGGTCGTCGGAGCAGAGCCTCTAAGCCCCCGCCCCGAGAGGCAGGGGGCTGCCCGGGGACCCAGGCCCGTCCGGCCGCAGCCCGAGCCAGCCGTGAGTTCTAGGTCGGCCCCGCCCCGGGACCCCACCCTTCGGACCTTGGGGGTGGGGGCCGCCCACCTTAGGACTCGGGGCCTCAGTTTCCCCAGGGCGAGAGGGAGGAGGGAGGGGCCCCGAGGGCTTAGACTAACCGTGTGTGTCCTGTTCTAACATCCCCCTTCTAACCTCCCTCCCAGCCCCGACATCCCCGGTTCCGAGGCCCCTCCCGGCCCTGGCATCCCCTGTTCTGAGGCCCCTGCCGGCCCTGGCATC